GCAATTAATTATATTCTTGCAATCTTCCATCATAATTAATAAATTTAGAGCAAGAACATATATTTCTAAGAAAAATATTCAAAGAAGATGGAAAAGAAATTACACTAAAGATGAAAATTTACCATGAAAATCTTTAGGCCAATAAAATATAACAAGATGGTACATTTTTGAAAGGAAAAATTATAGTTGTAATAATAAAATGGAGATAAAGCAAGCTTACCTCTTTTACTCGGGTTCATTTTTATTTCACCATATCCCAGGGATAGAGCTTTTAAAGATGGAAGACTTGCCAAAGATGATAGGATGTTGTAGCTGAAGTTTATTCTTCCACTTAGGTCAAGCACCTCCAAATGGTCAAGTCTTGACAGCTTTTTTAAATCAACTGTTACAAATTAACAATCAAAGCTTGTTGTTCGCCAGCGTCTAATTTTGCTAAGCATATAACATAAAATTAAAACTGTATCATAGTTTGAAGCTAGTAAGTTGTTCTAGTTATCACTCAAGGATGGTAAGACACTATTGTCCAACTTACTGTGATTTAGATCGAGGATTTGCAAGTTTTCTCAACATAGAAAAGGCTCTCAAAACTTGCAATACATATAATTTTTTAATCAGTTTTGAAGTCACATATTTTATAACATGAAACAATAAGGAAATGGGTTCTATAAGAGAGAGGGGGGCAGCTATACCATTAGCTTGGCTGGATGCTTGAAATTCGTCTTCAACTAGATATAAAAACTTGAGAGATGAAAACTCACTCAAAAACGATAAGATACTATTATTGGTCAACATGTTATAACTTAGATCGAGGAATTCTAATTTTCTTAATTTAGAAAACTTCTCGAAACTTGCAATATATACAATTACTAATTCAATTTTGGAGCCACATATATATTAAGATGAAACAATAAGGAAATAGGTTTCAATAAGTAAAAGGTGGATATTTGTACCATCAACATCGTTGGATGCTTGGAGTTTGTTGCGAGCTAGATTTAGAGACTTGAGAGATAAAAACTCAGTCAAATACGACAAAATGCTGTTATTGAAGAAATTTTCTTCCAAGTTAAGGATTTCCAAACGGCTGAACTTCTTTGAATGCTTAAGAAACCCTGCAAGTAGATCACAAGAATTGTAATTTTAGTTCAATTAAAAGAATAACACATAAATAAAATGTAGGATAGGACAACAAGAATGAGATGAATATGCCAATCATATACATATTGAAATGCTCAATCGTTGATAATTATAATATTAACTAACTTGAACGGTAGACAAAAACTCGCATTTTCAATATGCAACTAGCTACTCAATTGAAATTCAAAGTGAGACTTCAATTCCTCAAATAGAAGAAACAAAGAGGCATTCAGATACATGTCAGTGAAACTACTACTATATGCTTCAGCCTGTGTGAAAGTAGGGATGAGTGAGATGACTAGTCTTGTGGTGAAAGTTGCAATCAACCTTTTTCCATTGACAATAATCTGTATTTTTCCTCTCCTCTTACCCAGTTTCTTAGAGAAAAGTAAAATTGAAAAAACGTTTGAGTTGGAGGAGAGCAATTCATTATCGGTCCCAACACCCTTGGCACCACTGCCCATCTACTAAGAAGAGTGTAAGTAGCGCATACATTAACCATTTCAACTCCATCAAAATAAGCTCAGATCAACCGCCAAGTACTGCTACCATATATCTCCGGGCCATTACCAGCAATTCACTTTAGACTTTTATATATACAAGTAAGCATCTATTCCATGATTCCAAATTTTGTCATAAATGGGTTCCCCACATTCTTAATTCAACTTAGCACTTTCCACTTTCCACAACAATTATATGTATCCTTTTTCTTTCTCTTTAATTGCTTATTTCATTAAAAATATATTTAAAAAAGATCGTAACAAATTGGCTTTTATTGAGATGAGATTGTCAAGGGATGGAAGAATTTATACCTTCATTATTGATAAATGGATTAATTATATTGAAAAAAAATCAAAATGGTAATTGAAATTATTGACTTTAACGTCCTAGCATAAAGCATAAAGTCAAAACTATACCATAGTTTGATGCTAATAAGTTGCTCCAGGCCAGATTTAGAGACTTGAGAGATGGAAGTTCACTCAAAAATGATAAGTTACTATTATTCAACATATTGTCATGTAGATCTAGGATTTCTAAATTTCTCAACTTAGAAAGCCTCTCAAGACCTGCAATATGTACAATTATTAATTCAATTTTGGAGTCACACATAAATATTAAGATGAAATAATAAGTAAATAGGTTTCTATAAGTAAAAAATGGAGAATTATACCATCAGCATGGTTAAATGCTTGGAAATTGTTGTTGGCTAGATACAGGAACTTGAGAGATGGAAGCTCACTCAAAAATATTAAGATACTATTGTTCAATTGATTGCTAGATAGATCAAGAATTTCTAGATTCCTTAACTTAGAAAGCTTTTCAAAACCTGTAAAATGTACAATTATTAATTTAATTTTGGAGCCACACATAAATATTAAGATGAAACAATAAGGAAACAAGTTTCTATAAGTAAGAAATGGAGAATTATACCGTCAGCATGGTTAGATGCTTGGAAATTGTTGTAGCCTAGATATAGGGACTTGAGAGATGGAAG